CCCCGGGCTGTTGTCGCCGCTGCTGCCCGGGCCTGCGCTGGGGGGGCCGCAGGGCCTCGCACAGGCGTCGTTTGTGCTTCAGATGCACAGGCCGATTGAAAAGCAGACAGGGAAAACGCTCTGCACCCGGCTTTGCAGCCTGGTGAGCGAGAGGGCTTGAAATACTGCCGGTAAAAGCCGCTGCTGGCTGGCACGCCAGGCACTCCGCCCGTGCCAAGGTAAAAAGTTACTTGCCGAGGACACTGAGAAGAAATGAAAGGACTGAGCTGCTTTTTGAAGCTCACTACTCTTGCACGATCAGGACGCCAGGACACTTAAAACATGAAGAGAGGTGCACCAGGGTAGATTTAGGCAGCAAAGACTGAAGCTCCTTACGGAAGCTTTCTCTTCCTTCCTCCCAAGTCTGTCACGAGAACTAGTAACTGCTCCATGACATTGCCAGTGAAACCTGCAGGCAGACGTGCCTTCTTTTCATGTCTTTGGAGAGACACCAGCCATTGGAATAAACCACTATCTATGTAGAAATGTTATACTCATAGAAGTTAGCATGCGAATTTCAACTAATACACCCATTCCAAGCTGACAAAATTAATACCAAAGTAATATTTGAAGGTAGGAGTTCTCATTTGTGTAGTTATATGCCAGTGTAGTTGTACTGCTAACTCCTGCTAGCTCTTAATTTCATTTATTAAGCACTGAAATGTTTTTTAAACTACAAGAATGGCTTCTATTTTTTGAAATTTCTTTTCCATTTGCCATCATAGAACTCCTACATAAATATCCAACCTATTGAAACCCATTGCAAACGTACCATTAACTTCTTGGAGATGCAAATCTTAAAAATTAAGTTTATTCATAGATACCAGAGTGAGGTGCCATGGCACCAAAGAACTGGCCATTGCAATACTGTCTAGCATTTCCATTAATTTTAGCAATCCCAGAAAATATGCACTATTTCAATTTCTGAAGAGGAAGACTTAGGATTGGCTTATATTGCTTAAGATTCATCCAAAACTGAGTTTTAACATTTAAGAAGAAGTTAAACATCAGTGCAGTGGCAATGAAACCTTTACTACACCTAAAACATTTTTATTGTCACAATTGATACTAGAGCTGTTGGCTTCTCTGTCTTTAAGTAACAGGGCCATGAACTATTAACTTTTCATCTAATACACAGAGGGCACTAACATAGTTACATGTAATTGGATGGTCGTGTTTTTTGAAAGGTAAAATAGTGTTTTAGTATTGCGTTGCAGTGCCCTCCAAAGTCCTCCTCATGTTGAAAAGATTAATTCATTAGGACAGCTAGAACAATTTTAGGTAGATAGTAAAACTTGTTTTGAGGGTTTTCATTCCTTTGCAGGTGTAAGAAAGTGTTGATGCTTAAAAATGGGATTATTAAAAAAAATACTATTGGTTGTCTTGCTCCTTCTATTTCAGTATAACAAAGTCCTGCCCCTAACACCCTGCCCTTAAGGTCTGTCCCACTTCTGTTCCCACACCCTCATCCCTTCCCACCTAGTCCAGTAGCTACCATGAATACTTCTGCAACTGGCATAAAGACTTCTGGAACAGACTGTACCAGGCTGCATGTGGCTGAACTGGAAACAGACTGAGATGGAACAAAGACAGGTATGGGAATGGTTGTAAGATATGGAAGGAGAAAGGCAATGTCAGAAGAGAGGTGGTTCCAAGGCTGGAAGTGAGACAGTGTGACTGTTTAGACTTTGCTTCAATGGAGTATCACCATTGTGACAGACAAGGGCACAGGACATGAATACAAATCAGCAGGTGACAGTGAATACTTTCTAAACTTGCTCTGTGCCTACAGACTTCAGTTGGGGAAAATGTGAGAAAGGACAGGGTTGGTAATTAAAGTTAATGGATACAGTATCCATTAATTAGAATATGGCAATAAAATTTCACCCATTGAAAGTTAATCCTTTCCTTAGAATGCTCTTTTTAATTTTTCCTTGTTTTAAGTCTAATCTTGTCAATCTGTTGTTAAATCCTAAATACAGAATTTCCTGTCTGCATTTTAGAGTTCAATATTTGCCTCTCACTACATTTTATGAATGCATTTTGTTATCTTCAGGCTTCCAAGGGTAAGTTTTAGTTTGACACATGCTTGAAATTGTTAGCTCTTAAGAACTAGATGAATTAGTGGCTTCTCACAATGTTGCTTCCACTCAAGTGTCTATTTAAATAAAGATTGAAAATTAAATGAAGAGTGGGCAATGGAAATGTGCTTTCTCACAGGAGGGTCCTTACCAAGGAGGGTCATCTACAAAATAATGATAATCCAGTATGCACTCAACTAAACTTCAGCCAGTCTCTTAGGAACAGCAATGAAATCACTCTTTCTTCAGTATCAGTGTGCAGCACTACTTGAACTAAGCATGTCAGTCACATTGTGGAGTAGCCATAAGCCACCAGGTAATCAGCTGTCAACATGAATATACAACTGAGTGATAAAAATTCTGTATCCTCTGAACTGGGAATTGCATTAGATTCCAGGAAATGGTGTAACTCAAGATACGGTATATGTTTTCCTTTGGATATATAAAGTTACTTGATGTTTAGTTTGACTAGGAAGAATGTTAAATCCCTGGTAGAAGCTAGGATAGAACAATATATTTGTCATATTTATGAAAGTATGGAACAAACTAGGAGTGATAAAGACTTTTCTATCTACAGATAATAAAATGATTCCCAGTTTACCACTGCAGATGTCCCTCTATTTCAACGTTTATTTTTCCCCATTTTGGTGGCTCTGCACAGTTGTCATGCTTTATCTGAAGGTGAGTCCTGAAGGAATGTGGTGGCTTGCAAATATAATATGTTCCTGATCAAACACCTCCTAGTACTGTAAAAGAGTTCACTGGCATTACAGGTTATTAGACTTGTTTGGGAATTCCTTGGAACTGGAGGTTCAAGAGTATTTGAAACCAAATATAACACTGTCAGCTTACAGTAATGTGATCTTCTTGTAATCACAAACAGCATGTTATAAGACAGCACAACAGAACTTTTAATCTCTTTTTCCCTCTAGTATCCCATCTTGTCAGATGGCTACAAGTTCATCCTGGTCACAGTCATGATTCTGGCCTCTCTAATAGAGGTCATTCGACTCTACCTGGGATACATGGGCAATCTGCAGGTGAAGGTATTGTACTGCATGTACATACTACTTTGTGTAGGAGAGCTTTTTGGAGTTGAACATAATGAACTGGCAGACTATTTTACCTAAGTTGAGGAGGTGTTTTTTTTCCACAAGTTAGTCTGCCTCCTCTATTCCCTTGGCATCAGTTTTTACTTTTGTGCATTCCATGAATTTCTTCCTCCAAAGAAAGCCTTCTTGCTCCCCAAAAGCGTTCAGTCTGGAAAAAATACAGTTAAAAACCACAGTATCTCACTTTTACCATTTTACATTATGTGGTGGTTTGGGAAGCTAAAATATTTTGTTCTTCACTAAGTTTTGGATTTTTTTCATCTCCAAACTGCCAGTTAATAGGTGATGTCTCCTTATTGTAGATCCCTGAGCTGGCTGCGTTTTGGCTCCTGACTCTCCTCCTTCAGTTGCCCATGATTAGCTTCTTGCTATTTAATGAAGGCCTGAACATTCAGCCACTGGAACGAGTGGTCAATATCATCTTTGCCCTCTTCCTCACCTCCCAAGCCATTACAGCATTTTTCACCCTGAAAAGAATGGTAAACAAACTGGCAACTCGCTTCCACCTTAATGCATTTGACCAGCTGGACGAACATCCTGTGCCTGGTTTTTACAGCCTGAGCGAAGAAGGAAGAGCAGTTTCCATGTCCAGGAGGGGCCCCTGCTGAGGAGGGTCACCCAGCAAGTACTGGCTGTGGATCATACCCCAAGGGTCTGAGAAGCTAACAGAGGGGATCTCTTGTTGCTACAGTTGTGTGTTGTAGGAAGGTGAAGAGCAACCCAGCATCAGAGATACTAAAAAAAAATAGATCCTGCTTAAGAATGAATATTAAGCCTCTGGGATCAGAGCTCCACTCTGCAGGAAAAATCAAAACCTATTACATAACTGGGTGGAGTGGACTATTTGTGGACTGTTACTGCATACAGTATTGACAGAGTGAGTTTGATGGGTTTTACATTTTGAAGTCATGTGGTGTTAATGGAAGTCTTTCCCCCCCTCACTGTTTGCACATAATTGTTTTGTTGACAATAAATTTTTATACACATTTTATTTGTGATTATACCAGTTTTCTCTCTGTTCTTCCAGATATGTTGCACATATTTTATGTCTGGGTCATCAGTTAAGAAAGAAACAAAAAAAACCACACACACCAAAATCCAAAGTTTTCATATGAATCCTCAAAGTCTTCCTTCAAGCAGGACAAGAGTAAAATTTTAAGCAGTTGAAGTTTGTGCCAGCCTAAAGTGTAAAGATGGGTCTAAAGTGAAAAAGGGCAGTCTTTTTAAACTGATTACTGGCTTGGATTGGTTATTAGACAGAAAAAGAAGATTTCTGTACGAGAATCTCAAAGAGTGTCTAATGTTTAATATAAAACATTTAAAGCTCCATATTCAGAGCTTGCAAGAGAGACAGTGAGGTTTAAGCAGAAGTTACATCATTTTGTAATATAACATTAGAAACTCCTTTAAAAAAAAAAAAAACACTTAACTGATGCAATGGGAACATTGCACATATATTTGTGTTAATCACAACTACGTTACTGGAGAATGCCAAGGTCAGGGCTGATGAATTACAGAAGAAGCTTGATAGGATCCTTTATGATAGCAGGTGACAGCACGATTGGTCCTGACAGGCCAAACAGAAGACATCAAGATACCTTGGAAAGCAGCAGGCTGGAAAAGGATCTGAGAGTAATGATCAACAGTCAACTAGATATGAGCCAGCAGTGCACACAGGTCGCTAAGAAAGCCAATGGCATCCTGGCTTGTATTAAGAACAATGTGGCCAGCAGGAATAGGGAGGTAATCCTCCCACTGTACTTCGCACTGGTGAGGCCACACCTTGAATATTATGTTCAGTTTTGGCCCCTCACTATAAGAAGAGCATAGAAGTGCTGGAAAAGTTCTGTCCAAAAAGGACACTGAGGATTGTGAGGGACCTAGAGTGAAAGTCTTGTGAGGAGCAGCTGAGGGAGCTGGTTTGTTTAGGCTGGAGAAGGAGGCTGAGGGGAGACCTCATGACTCTTTACAACTACCTGAAGGGAGGTTGGAGTGGTAAGGGAGACAGCCTCTTCTGCCTAGTGACATATAATAAGACCAGAGGGAACAGATGCAAGGGGCACCAGAGGAGGTTTAGGTTAGATATTAGGAAGCATTTTTTTCCTCTGAAAGGGTTGTCAGGCATTGGAATAGATTGCCTAGGCAAGTGGTGGAGTCACCACTTCCAGAGGCATTTAAAACAGCATGTGGACCTTGTGCTTAGGGACATGGCTTAGTGGTGAGCTTGCAGTGTTAGGTCTAAAGCTGGACTGGATGATCTCAGAGGTATCTTCCAGCCAGGGACATTGTGATTCTGTATTTCCTCCTATGACTGTCAACAGTGACTCAGATGTTTCAGTGTCTCTTTAGCCATACAGAGCTGCCTCTTCCTGCCCAAATCACAGAATCACAGAATCCTAGGGGTTGGAAGGGACCTCGAAAGATCATCTAGTCCAACCCCCCTGCCAGAGCAGGGTCACCCAGAGCACATCACACAGGAACATGTCCAGGCAGGTTTTGAATGTCTCCAGTGAAGGAGACTCCACAACCTCTCTGGGCAGCCTGTTGCAGTGCTCTGTCACTCTCACAGTAAAGAAGTTTTCTGATACTCACATTGAACCTCCTATGCTCCAGTTTGCATCCATTACCCCTTGTCCTATCACTGGTCATCACTGAAAAAAGCTTAACTCCATCTTCCTGACACCCACCCTTTACACATTTGTAAACATTGATGAGGTCACCCCTCAGTCTCCTCTTCTCCAAACTAAAGAGACCCAGCTCCCTCAGCCTTTCCTCAGCAGGGAGACATTCCACTCCATCATCTCTGTGGCTCTGCACTGGACTCTTTCAAGCAGTTCCCTGTCCTTCTTGAACTGAGGGGCCCAGAACTGGACACAATATTCCAGATGTAGCCTCACCAAGGCAGAATAGAGGGGGAGGAGAACCTCCCTTCACCTGCTAACCACACCCTTTCTAATGCACCCCAGGATGCCATTGGCCTTCTTAGCCACAATGAGACTAGCACCAAAAGCTGCTCTTCCTGGCCAAGGATGTAGGGTAGATCTCCAAGGAGCTCATATCTACCACTAAGAAAACCTGAGTGTTGGGGAAGTATAGGCTAATGATGCAGCATGGAAGTTGAGCACTGCTAGTTTTCAGTGCCTTCCAATAATGTCTAAAATAACAGACATTAAGGGAAAGCAGCATCTTTTCCATAGGTCCACCAGCTGACTATCTCTGCTCTCGATATCATTGGCAGAACAAGCACTGGAGCAGCTTAGAAGAGACACTAAGGCAGTTGGCATCCCTCGTGCTCTGCATGGAGCTTGGCTGTTCCCCTTACAGAAAGCCTGCTATGGGAAATGAGTAGGAAAGTACATCAAGATGATACAGCAAGCCAGGCTCTGAGGAGACAGTGATCACCTGTAGTAATCCAGTCTCTTGCCCTAATTAGAAAATGGCATATCCTTTGGTTGTTTCCAGTAATGCCATAAAAATGTTAAAACTGAATCTCACAAAATACTTCGTTAGTGTAATGGCTGGGAAGACTTTTTAATCACCAAGAACATCAAATACAACATAAAGCTGAAAATGTCGACCATATACCAGTGCTGGCAAAAAGGAACTGGCCTCCAAGCTATGACCACAAAACTTGATTCAAAATCCTTGCTTCTAGTGATAAGAAAATAATGCACTTAGAAGATCAAATTACCATGCAGGGCAATTATCAGGAGCCAAAGATGCAGAGAGATACAACTCTCTGCTGGAGAGAGAAAGAGGGAGAGAACATCAATGTGGTGTTACAGGAAATAGAATTCAGAGAAACACTGTTAGAAAGAGTTGCCTGGAAATGCTTCGGGTAGAAATGTGATGTAAATTCAGCAATATATTTGATACACTCAAGATCTCTGTATTCTCTCTGCTCAGGCTTCCTAACAGACCTGCTGGTCAATTTTTATTTCATCATTACCAGCTTAAACATTTAATTATGAAGAAAGCTTGCAAGCATCTAGAACTTGCATTCAGTGCCTACAACTGCAGTTTTTCCATGAGTTTCCTACTCCTTGTGTACCCAGAGACAGGAGAAGAAAATTACAGTAGCACTCAGGAAAACAGAACAAGTACAGAATCACACTGAAACTTTTTTCCTCCAGTTTCCAAATATCACAAGAACTGGCAAGACATCAAACAAGCAGAAAATATACTAGTCACTTGTAACAGTCAATTTCAGACACATAAAACAAACTTCAGAAACTTTTGATAACCATGTAAGGAAGGAAAAAATAACAGAGGAGAGAGATACACAAGTAGAAGGGGAAAAACATTGCAGAAGGTACTCACACACTGTAAGTCATAAAACAAGTGGAAGAACTTAATAGCATCAAGAGCAAAGAGGTAATAATGGCTTTAACATTTTAAAGAAAATAATGGAAAATGGAAAATAATGGTTTGTTATAAATGAAGAAGTTCGGGAATAATTGCCAGAACAGACTGGAAGCATTGGAAGGTAGTAGAGAACTTCAAAGGGAAACAGCAAACAAAGTAACAATCCCTCATAGATACTCTTCCTCCCATTATTCGGATAGCTATGAGCAGACATGTTGTCCTGCAACAGGAGGAATATACTCATCTTGCAGTATAAAATATTCATAAGTAGAACATGAGAATTTAAGACTGAGCAAAGCACATGTTTGGGGAGCAAGGGCGGTTAGTGACTTCCCCCTCCCCTCTACAGATTAGGTGGAAAAGGTGAAAGGAGGAAACTCAAGAACATTGGAAGCCAGTGGAAGTTCTTTGAGCAGCATCTAGACAGTTTTGAATGCAAGCTGCACAACAGCAGCTTTTTGTCACACTAGGGTTTCTGCAGAAAACGACAAAACAGTTCTATTATTATTATTATTATTATCTAGATAGCTGCCTAATTTACTGTCCCTTCATTAGCAAGATCTTTGAATAGCAAACATCCAGATACAGTTATTTAACAACATTTACTATTAGGAACAGTCAACAATCAATTTGAAAGGAAACTTGTACCAGCAAATTTCCTTTAAATGAAGGAATGAAGAATGGGCAAGTAATCTTAAAATCCTCTTTTTTAAAGTTATTGGTCAGCTTGGAGGTAAGGAGTATTTTGTATTCAAGGACAGAGTTGCTGAGTTTTAATACCTGAACTCAACATGTGTTCCTTGTCTGAACTAGACTCTGTAAAAGGTTTTTATCTTTTTAACAGTTGCAGGACTTCTGAGAAGGGAGAATTAAATTTGGAAGAGGCTTCAATTATGTACCTTACTCAAGCAATCTGATAAAGCAGACATGAGATAAGGCACAGATTTGATAAAAAGACAATTCATAAAAATGGAGTATAGCATTAACCTTTCTATATCAACAACTCACTCTTTCAGACTTCTAAAAGAATTGCACCCAGAGGAATGAGATCATACATTTCACTCTTGCCTTTGTCTCAACATAACCTAGAGTAGATGTGGTGTTAGTCCTCAAATAGTTAATTCAGTAGGTACAGTTGGCATCATTACACACTGATCAGAGTCAACAGTAATATTTGATAGCTGGGTAAGGCTGCAGAGATTCATTTATTTTGAAAAACAAAATTTTGTTTCTCCCGGACAAA